TTCATGAATTGGAAGCATCCTGGGTTGAGCCAGGGTTTGCTGCCTGAGCACCTGGGAGGAGGTTAGTCCTCACAAACTGAGATAGGGCTGCAGGTGGGATGGGGGGAAGCGGAGGATGAGACAGTTCATTCCTTACATTCAGTTTGAGGAATCTGTTAGACATTTGGGTTGCATATATAAGCTGTACATTTGAGAGTTGATGGCTCTTAGAGTCATGGCCAGTTCAAATGATTTGGATCACCAGGGAGTGAGTGCAGAGAGAGGAAATAAGAGGACTGAGCTCTAGGGACTTCCTGGGTCCATCTTCTGGGATACGCTGGTGTGTATGCCTTGCAGAGCTGTTCTATACTGTTAAGCAAATATAGAGAGGGCGTGCCTTTCTCATAAGAGTAAACATATTATACATATGGGTGTGTACCTTGCTTGTTTTTCAGTTACCAATATGTTTTAGACATGGTTCCCAAGTGGTATAGAAACATTGTTTTTGTTCTTTTTGAGGGCTGCATGATATTCCATTTGGTGGACATGCCATAATCTCTCTCTCTCTTCCTGTTTAACATTTTTACTATGGGGCGCCTGGGTGGCTCAGTGGGTTAAAGCCTCTGCCTTTGGCTCAGGTCATGATCTCAGGGTCCTGGGATCGAGCCCCACATCGGGCTCTCTGCTCAGCAGGGAGCCTGCTTCCCCCTCTCTGCCTGCCTCCCTGCCTACTTGTGATCTCTCTGTCTCTGTTAAATAAAGAAATAAAAAATCTTTAAAAAATAAAATTTTTATTATGGGGGCTCTTGGATGGCTCAGGCAATTAAGTGTCTGTCTTCAGCTCAGGTCATGATCCTGGAGTCCTGGGATGGAGCCCCATGTAGGGTTCCCTGCTCAGCAGGAAACTGCTTCTGCCCCTCCCCCTGCCCCTTCTTTCCCCACCTCCTCTTTCTAATAAATGAATAAACAATATCTTTTAAAAGTAAATAAAAATTTTACTATGGAAAATTTCAAACGTATAAAAAAACTAGACAGAAAAATAGAATGAATCCTCTCCCCACTCTGACCCATTACCCAACTTCAACAGTGATCAATGTGGCTAATTTTATTTCATCTGGACCACAATACGCTCTCTTTCTTCCAAATTATTGTTTCTTGGTAATTTGTTATTTTGATGTAATTGCAAACTTACCCTAACATCTATTTTTTTTTTTTTTAGTATATGTGTTCCAAAGTGAGCACGATAGCATCTATTTTTAAGGATATTTCAATTGTGTATAATAATTTACTGCTGTAAACAGTATAGTAAAGAAATACTACAACATGCCTATTCACAAAGAACACATTCCTGGGTGCCCCAATGGACAAAGTTTGGGAACTGGAATGCTTTCAGAGCATCTCTCTTAAGAAATGGGTCCTGAGCACCGAACACAAATCCCGGCATTGCGGAGATCCTTTCGTTGGGAAAGTCTCCTGGCCTTGGCCTCTACATTTCTGTTGTGTGTGTGTTCTTTTTTTAAAGACTTATTTGTTTATTTATTTGAGAGAGTGAGAGACAGGGAATGAGCAGGAGGGACAGAGGGAGTGGGAAAGAGAATCTGAAGCCGATTCCACGCTGACCATAGAGCCCAATGAGGGGCTGGATCTCACAAACCTGAGATCGTGACCTGAGCTGAAATCAGGAGTCAGATGCTTCACCAACTGCCCCACCCAGTGCCCATGCCTTTCCATTTCTGGCCCCAATTCCAGTGTGTGGGTTTTCCCACATCACCAAGCAATTGTCTAACACCAGCTGGGTGTTGTTAAAAGACAGAAACTTAGACATATTAGCAATTTATAAGAGTTTGAGCAAAAATTGATTAGAAGAAGGCAGCACCCTATCTAGCAGATAGAAAAAAGCACAGAGGAGCTGTATGAAAGACTTGTATAGGCAAAAGGGAGCAGGAACAAGGAAGTCATACTAGGCGAAAAAGATGGTTGGTTATCACAAGGTTGCCAAAATTACTTTCCTTTAAGAGATGATGAGAATCTAGTAAGCTGATTACCTAACTAGTGCTGATCAGGTGATTTCTCATTGACTGGTTTAAGATTCCACTTCTGGGAGAGCTGAAATTGTAATGAAGTTATTAGTTCTCAGCTCATTGACATAGGGCTTTGCATAAGTGACTCCATTTTGAGCCAGTCATCTTCCTTTTACTTGTGTCGTTGGGGTTCAGGGCAGGCTGCCCCCATTATGCCAGTTTGACTTTTGGATTATTTTGAATTAAAGTTCCTTAAGAAACAGTGCAATAAGGACATCATGATCCTCTTTTATCTCCCTGAAAGCAAGAAATAAATTTCCCATGTGAAGGGTACCTGGGCAGAAGACATCCTTATCACCAGAGATAGGGAACTGAGGGTCCAGAATGCTGTATATATAAACCTTGCTTACTCCTTCATGACTTTGCTACCCCAAGCTCCAACTTTTTTCTCTTGTCAATTCTTCACAGATTTATTATTTCTTTATCTAAAAGGTAAAAAAAAGCTGCCTGCTTTGGTTACTTCTTTGAGTCTTATATTTTTATGAGTTCTCATAGGTATAACACTAAATTTGCTTAGTTAGCCTGTGACTCCCTCTTATGTCAGTTCAATGATTAGGCCGGCCACAGAACCTAGGTAGGAGGAAGGGAAAAGTTTTTCCTCCCCTACAGTGTCCTACAACTCAACTCAATTCTGTCACTATTTACCTGGAGATCAGTTCCATATGTTAAGGGTTCAGCCGTATGAGACTGCCTCCACCCCTTCAGAACCCAACAGGAAACTCAGGTTGTCACCTGTGCTTCTGAGGACCAGCTAGCTATAGATGGGATGTTCCAATGATCCTCTCCTCAGCTTCAGTTAATTTGCTACAGCAGCTCACAGAACTCAGAGAAACAACTTACGGGATTGCAAGTTCATTACAAGAGGATTTAACCCAGGAACAGCCAGGTGGAAGAGATGCATAGGTCAAGGTATGTGGGAAGGGACATGGAGCTTCCATGCCTTATCTGAGCTACCTACTTTCCTTGAACATCCAAGCTCTCTGCTGAATGCTGTCCTTTTGGGTTTTTAGGGAGGCTTCATGACCCAGGCATGATTGAATAAGTCGTTGGCCATTGACGATTGATTGACTCTCCAGTTCCTCTCTTCTCCCTTCTCCAAAGGTTAGGGGGTAGGACTGAGAGAGTTCCAACTCTAATCACTCAGTTGGCTCCCCTGGTGGCCAGCCCCCAATCTTAGGTGCTTTCCAAAAGTCACCTCAGGAACATAACAAAAGACGTCTTTCTCACTGTCATCACAGAAAATTCCAAGGGTTTTTGGAGTTCTGTGTCAGGAGCAGGAGGAAGACCAAATAAATATTTCTTACTATAAATCACAATATCACAGCCTATAACTGACTCTCTAGAGCTTTTGCCTGTGATATTTTAGAAGACCACAGGTTCAGACTAAAACCATACATGGAAAGACATTTTCAGAGTAAGCTTACCATAGAGTGTCTTCTCTTTCTGTACTGCTATTTTGTGTGCAGGCCCCTAGCAGTAACTTTTCCACAGGTGAGTGCCATGTGCCTGACAAACAGAAGTGGCCCTTCTCTAAACCCCTACCCTAAGTCTTCACTCTGTGTTGTGTGTGTGTCTCCTAGAGCGGCATTGCATGGTGTTAGCTATCCCAACACGTGTTCTCCTCTTCTCTGGGATGCATGGGGGATTGAACAAACCATGTCTGCTTCTCTCAGGGACTCTGTTGCTAATATAGGGCCTGTACCCCAGGAGGCATCAGGGAGCAGTTACTGCTGAGTATGACTATACCCTGCTCATCACAGAGGGCAAACTGGCCGCCAGGCAGAACTGAATGGATTTTGTGCTTGGCTACCTTAGTGTTTAAATGAAAAGCTAAATTAGTGGCTGACATGTAAAAGATTGCATATAGAAATTTCATATAGAAACACTCTCTTCTCTTGAAAAATGGGAAGATGGGCCATGTTGGGCTAGCGTTCTTGCCGTTCCTACCTTGTATCAGTTGGCTGGAACTGAGCGGTGGCTTCCTCAAGGCAGGATGCTGTTCTGATCTCCAGTCTCCATACTCAAGGGCATCTTAAGCCCTGCTAATCTCTCTTCTTGAGTCATCAGCCTAGCCAGTGAAGAACCCTGTTGGTGACCCCTGACTGTCGGCTGTGGCTGACAAACCTTTTTAGTGGCTCCAGACACTTCAATAATCGTGTGAGAGTCCTGTACCCTCTCCAGTAGGAGCACATAGCATAACATTTTACATACTATCCGGGGCTCTCCAGCCCCTCCCAAGGCCAGGCTGCAGACTTGCAGGGCCAGAACTCCAGGGTCAGAGATGACATCTTTTTCTGCCACCTTCCAACAGTCTTTTGCAGAATCCCCCGGCTGGCTCCTGCTCAACATTCCAGCCTCAGCTCTGTCAGCAACTGGAGACAGGCCTTCCTTGGCCCTTCATTGTAAAATTAGCTGTCCTCCCTTCTCTTGGCGCGCTAGTCCTTTTAAACTCTGCTTAAATTTTGCCTGGAAGTCTTCTTCCTCTCTGAAATGGTCTGGTTCAGACGTTAGTTCACCTGTTTACTGTCTGACCTCCACCCCCGCCCCAATACAGTGTAACACGGAGAGAGCACCGTCTGTATCCCAGTGCCGTGAATAAGCAGTGCCTGGTACCCAGTAGGCACGTAATAACAGCCTGTCGAATGAATGGATGGACGGGACGGATCCCCCCGTTCTCAATTTCCTTGAGGCATCGGGTGGCAGGAGCCAGGTGAGACAACAGCCCAACAGCCGGCGACCTCGGCCAAGTCCCGACCCTGGAGCCCCCTCCTGCTGCGCGGTACCAGGCAGCGCCCGCGGACGGCGAGAGGGCGGAAGCTTCGAGGCCGGAACGGGCGTGCCCGGCGCGCGGGTTGCGGGGGGGCGGCTTAACCGGCCGGACCGCAGCGGCGGCCGCGGGAGGGGAGGGGAGGGTCTGCGGGCGGCGGCGGCGGCGGCGGCGGCGGCGGCATGGCAGGTCGGCGGGTGAACGTGAACGTGGGCGTGCTGGGCCACATCGATAGCGGCAAGACGGCGCTGGCGCGGGCGCTGAGCACCACGGCCTCCACCGCAGCCTTCGACAAACAGCCGCAGAGCCGCGAGCGCGGCATCACGCTTGACCTGGGCTTCTCGTGCTTCTCGGTGCCGCTGCCCGCGCGCCTGCGGGCGGCGCTGCCCGCGTCCCCGGCGGCGTCCGGAGCCGAGCCCGAGCCCGGCGAGCCGCAGCTTCAGGTCACGCTGGTCGATTGCCCCGGGCACGCCTCCCTCATCCGGACCATCATTGGCGGTGAGCGCGGGCCGGGGCGGGAGCCGGGCTCGGGGACGCTGGGCGGAGCGGCCGGGCCCCGTGTCCGAGCTCGCCCGAGCCGCTGCCGGGGAAGGGGGAGCGTCTCACCTCCCGGCAGGGCCCCGCCCAGGACGCGAGAGGTGGACGGGGCTCGCCCGAGTCCCCGCCGGCAAGCGATCGGGGATTCTGGGACCCGAACTCGCGGCCGGCTGACGTGGAAGCGCTTCCCACCCAGCACAACCGCGCAGGAAGGTGCTTCCTTAAAGTGTTGGGTTTATGGTTTTTGGTTTCGGTTTTCAAGAGGAGTTTGTAGTACACGAACAAGTCAGAAAACTCCAAAAGACTGCCAAAAGGGTCTATATGAAAAGTGCCAACAGAAGAAGTCTGCACTCATCCGTTCTTTGGTCTCCTGGTTCCCATTTCTAGTCAACCACAGTCAGCCGCTGCCCCAGTTCCTTGTGTCATTTCAGAAAAACTCCACGTAAAGACAAGCATACCCGTGTTGTACGTAAACCCCCTCTTCTTTCTCTTCACAAAACGGTAACGTCTACACTGTTTTAGTGAACACCAAGGTCTCCATATCTGCACACAAAAAGCTATATTATTATTACTTCTTAGGGAGGGAGAGAGAAACCTAAGCAGGCTCCACGCCCAGCACAGAGTCCCGCTGGCGCTCCATCTCAGGACCCTGAGATCATGACCTGAGCAGAAATCGAGTCTTAGCGGACTGAGCCACCCAGGCTCCCCAAAAGCTATATTATTTTTAAGGGTCATATAAAAATCCCATCGTACAGCTGTGCCAACGTTTTCTTAACTAACTCTTAATGAAGGACACTTAAACGTCATTTTCAGTTTTGGCTAATGATGCTTCAGTGAATTTTCTAGAACAAGACTGGTGGGGGTGCTGATCTGGCTGTAGGGGGTGCTGCTGGAACTGAACTGGCTTGGGCAAAGAGCACATGCATTTTCAGTCATGAGAGGTACTGCCAAAATGCCCTCCAAAGATGTTCCATTTAATCAATTTTTAATTACAAGGTAATACATGAATACGTTCTGCTTGTGAAGAAATAGAACTTTTCAGATTAGGTAAAGGTCTGGTAATGGTCCCTCCTCTTTCTCCAGAGGAAGCCACTATTATACCTTTGTAGCTTACTTTTCTGGGTACGTTTTTACTGCAATTAAATCTGTGGACAGGGCTTTAAAACATGCTCTGTTTTTAGAGGAAAATGATAAAATAATAGAAGCGTCTGGCACAAAAAGGTAAACAGCTAAAAGAAGTCTCTTCTTCACTGCTGACCCAAGTATTTGGTTACTTTCCTGTTTTCCACTGCCTTGTCTTTCCTTCCAATTCTCTACACCTACAAGCACATACGGGAATATATATTGGGCAGATGGTTTTATTGGCTTGGTGGCAGTTGGCCTCATTGGTCGCTGGGCATACTGGGTCCCAACTGTAGTGATGAGTGTATTAAGTACTTTAATCTTTGTTACCTCCCGGCTATTCCATGTTGTAGGCAGTCTGAGGTCATTTCCCCATTTTACAGTAGAGGAAGTGGAGGCTCAAAGGGAAGGGACCTGCCCAAGGTCACATGGCCTAAAGTCTTCTACTCAAGTTGTGTGTCCGTCATCAGATGAATGTTAAGGGTCCTGTGATCCTCTCTACTCTTTTCCCCTTTCCTTAACAATTCTGTTTAGTCGAGTCCAGGTACATCTTCAGACATATACTCTGAGCCAGTCTGGGTTGGAGATGGAAGAGCCAGGTTAAAGTAAAATAAGAAGTCACTTTTAGGGTTTTTTTGTTGTTTGCTTTTTTAGTAAATAGTGTAGGTGAATAGTAAAGGGCATGCTTTTGAAGTAAGAACTGGGCAGGAGACCTAGCTTTTCCCTATACTAACTGTGCCCTTTGAACCTGATTTTGGGCCTTCCAAACACTGGCAGATAGCAACCACACAGCTCTTTATTGGCTTTGCTTTTCTGCCATGTTTGCCACTTCCCCGGGCAGACTCTGCAAGGAGTGCAGTGGTTACCATTTAATAGTTGAAGAAATTGGGATATAGGGAGGCTGCTGGTAAGTGGCACACCAGGTCCCCCTAGTCCCAAAGCTGGAGCTCTTTGCCATGCTTCCTCAGATCACTTTGTACTTCCCCTGCACCCTTTCTAATATATCCATTTATAGAGAAGCACTTTGTAGGACAAAATGTTTCAGGTGCCAGCCTTATCCTATATAACCAAATTTTAATGACTCTTAAGAACTTGGCAAGTCCTTAGTTTAGACGGCAAAACTGTAAAAGAAGAGGAATATTTTCTCTTCTTACAGGTACATCGTGGCTCTTCTTTTCTCTCATCTCCTGAGTGAGGAGACTTTCTGTACCTTCTTTTTTTTTTTTTTTTTAAGATTTTATTTATTTATTTGATAGAGAGAGAGACACAGCGAGAGAAGGAGCACAAGCAAGGGGAGTGGGAGAGGGAGAAGCAGGCTTTCCGTGGAGCAGGGAGCCCCATGCGGGCCTGGATCACCAGGACCCTGGGACCATGACCTGAGCTGAAGGCAGACGCTTAACAACTGAGCCAACCGGGCATCTCTTTCCTTACCTTCTTACAGGCATTAAAATGCAACCTGAACACAGTGGGATGGTGAGACCACGGCTGCCACTATCCTTCTTTCCATAGATCAGATTCTCACCCTTTTCAGAGAAATGAGAAAAAATGAGGGAAAGGGTGCCCACATTTGAGTACCTGTTCTGGCCCACGCCTGTTGCTAAGAACTTGCATTTGTGCAGCAGCCCCAAGTGGTGGGAGTGTTAGGCCTATTTTTCTGATAAAGGAACTGAAGCTTGGAAAGTATAAAGTACCCTGGGCTGGTGTTTACCTAACTCTGCCTCCCCTAACCTGGGTCTGGTTAACACCTTTAGTTACCTCGTGGCTCATAGATCCATAGCCGTCTTTGCCTTTTTGAGATGGCCCCAGAGGCCAAATCCCTGCCTCTGACAGCTGCTCTCCTACAATGCTGGACTGCCTGCCCTCCTCTTCCTGATCCTCCATTTCCATACAGCAGGCCGAGAACTCTCATGTCAGCCCTCAGCTTCAACACTTCCCAGTGGCTCCTCTTTGTGCTTAAAATGCCAGCCTCTTCTCTGTGGGCTGCAGAACCCACGATCTGGCCTCCGTCTTCCTCTGAGCTCATCCCTTGCTCCCGACCTTCAGTCTCACTGCCCTCATTTTTACTTATTGAATGGGCTAGTTTTGCACCTGCTCTTCCCTCTCTTTGGTACATCCAGCTCCTCCTTCATATCTCAGCTCGAGTGTCCTGTCGAGAGGGCTCTTCTGAGCTGCCCAGCCAAAGTATCCTCAACTCTCTGCCCCATGTGATTTCTCATGTCCCTATTTTACTGCCTTACAACCCTTTTCAGTATCTGATAACTCTGTGTGTTTCCTTGTTGACTGTCTCTGTCCTCCATGAGAGCAGAGTAGGAATCATGCCTGGCTTATTTACCAGCATATTCTCAGCGTTTGGGCCAGAGCCAGGTGTGTGGTAGGCATTTGGTAAGTCTGAATGGGGGAAGCTGTGTCCCACTTCCTGGGCTGGATGGCAAAAGTGAGCAAAGAACTTTGTTCATGGGTTAGTGGACAGAAAGCAATCAGCATGGGGCCTGGCTTATAATCGATACATTATGCATGTTTCTTATTTCTCTAGTCTAGGAGCTAAAGGCAGAGCTAGGGAGAGGGTGCTGTCCAATGTGCCTAGTGACCTATCAGAGCTTTTAGCATACAGGATAAAAGCAGGAATAACTCAACTTTGCTGGGCAGTGGGGTATAGGGCATGATGGGGGGAAAGAAGAGCTTTCCTGGCGGAGGAAACGCTTGGTCAGGGCTCTGTAGCTTAAACCTTCCTTTTTGTCTGTTCAGACTTAGAGATAATGACCAGCATTTAGTTGTGGCTAGAAATCAGCATGGCGTGTGGGGAGGTGTGATGAAGATGAAGGTAGAAGGGCTGGTGGGCCAGAGCCTCTAGAGTGCTGAGTGTTGTTGAACTTAGATTAGGTTAGGCCCTTAGCATAGATTTCTTTCTTTTTTCTTTTTTTTTTTTTTAATTTTTAAAGATTTAATTTATTTGACAGAGATCACAAGCAGGCAGGGAAGCAGGCATTGGGTGGGGGAAGCAGGCTCCCTGCTGAGCAGAGAGCCCGATGCAGGGCTCGATCCCAGGACCCCGAGATCATGACCTGAGCTGAAGGCAGAGGCTTAACCCACTGAGCCACCCAGGAGCCGCACCTTAGCATAGCTTTCTTCTAAGGGCCTTGGCGGCGTTTTAAAGCAGGGTTGTGACAAGATCAGGCCTGAGCTTTAGGATGATGCAAGAGTCCCAGGCAGGCAATGCACCTGCACTTGGAATTGCTGGAAGACTGGGGTCTTGTTAGAATTCCTGGCTTGTTGTGAGTGGTTTAGACCCCTTGCTGAATACATTAGCCCTAGTAGAAGGAAATGAGGATGATTGTCTCAGTTCTATGATGATATCTCTGAAGTTTAATATATCTTATATTAAAGCCAGTTCTCATTGATTCTCTTGCTACGCCCCCAAAGTATTTTCGCTACCCAAAAGATTCCTTTCTTAGCTTAGAGAAAATTGGGCTTTATCTGCTTGATCCATGTGGCCATAGATAAAACTCCGTGGTACCAGGGGGAGGTTAATAGTGACAGTAGTACTTAGCTTTTATTTAGTGCTGCCCTTAAGCTGTTTTTTCCCCCATTTAACACTCAAAGCAATCTGGTGAAGTAAGAGGTGATATTCCCATTTTACAGGTGAAAAAGCAGGCTCAGAGAGGTCAGGTGGGGAGCACAGTTCCTAAGTGTCAGGGCTGGGTTTGAACCTGTGTTGATCTGACCACACAGCTCCTACTCAGGCATTCTCAATGGGAATGAAAAAGTGTATCCGTCCACTCAGGCCCCCTATAGTAGTGTTTCAGGGCAGTATTTTTCTCTAATCCATTTTGGAGTATAAA